TCTCTGTATTAACCCCTCTCTCTATCTCTCAGCTCTCTCCCTGGCGATGGAGAGAGATGGTTCCAGTGGAGGAGTTGTGCGTCTGGCCGCCATCACCGAGGGGGGTGTGGAGAGACGCGTCATTCTCGGGAATCAGCTCCCCAAGTTCTCCAGCGCCTGAGATGAGTCGGAGCCTCCAAACATGGGCTCCACCATCTAGGATTGGTTCACCTAGTCCATAACCACAATCTAGTTATCAAGCCAATAAATTGTATTTATGATGCATTTTTCTTGGTTTATTGAAAGAAATGTTACATTTTGATTAAATAAAGCTGTGAAAAGTTAAAATTACAGGTGTGTTCTTTTTTTCCCCTATACATGTGAATTAGTGCTCACGGTGGGGACAATTCATGACAATAATATAGCGCTAACACAATTACTGCTGCCTGCATCAAGACAGAAGTGTATGAGTCAATGCAAAGCATGACCTCTTGCTGAGCCAGAAATGCACATCTGTTATTTAATTATATTGAGAAACAAGGCATGTGAATAAGTACAGATTAAGCAGAAAATACCAATAGCTCATGCTGATCTTACGATATGCAATATGTTTAAAATAAACTGCTTAAAATAATTTAATCCTGGTATCATCTACCACTGTTACCACCCTGTAGCCTGATTTCATCAAGGTTGGGTTCTATCACTGCTTGGGTGGGGTACCTCTGCTGATATTATCTAAAGCACTGAACTTGAGCAAGAATGTTAAATTGGTTTAATCAAGTCTTTATGCACAGGTCTGAAACTTGATTTCTCAGGACCTGCAAACCCTGCAGGACTAACTCAATGGGTTTCCTACACATCCAGATCAAGGGTCACTGAGACACCTGCGCTGGATGCAGTTGCCATATTGTTATCTGATTCCTCACCTCCCGTTTCTGAGGCAATAGGTACCACTACCCACCTCTCCTGCTCTTCCTCCTCCTCCTTCTTGGCCACCTCCCAGCTGACCCTCTGGTCCTCCCTCTCTCTCGCTCTCTCTCGCTCACTCCCCTCCTCCTGATCTCCTCCTGTTCTCCCCTCCTGCTGCCTGTCCTTCCCCCATCCCCTCTTCTTCGTCAACACCAGCAGTGGCCCCTCCTCCGCCCCCTCTCTCAGGAACAGGCTGTACTTCACCGGCTGCCTGCCCTCTTCTCCCGGACTGTCCCACATCCTCTCCTGTCCCCTCTCTTCCTCTTCGCCTGGTACGTCCCTCCCCTGTGCTCCTCTCTCTTTCTTCAGTCTCTTTATCTTCACGGCCACTCCCTCCGTGTGCCAGGTCTCCTCTCCCTGCCTCCATCGTGGGTCCCACCCACCTTCCCAAACCCAGGGCCTTGCCTCTCTGTCTCCCTGCCAGAGTGCTTCCGCCCTCCGCTCTCTGCCTCCTCTCCCTGGCCTGATCCCTTCCTCGCTCTCCTCTTCTCCGGCTTCCCTCCTTCCTGCCTCCTGCTCCAGTTCCCCCCCTCCTCCTCTCCCTGACCTCTCCCTCCGGCCTCCTCCACTCCAGGTCACATGTATCCTCACCCCCCTCCTCTCCTCCCACCCCTGCCACTGCCTGCCTCTTGACACGTCCCAGCTCTCGCCCCGGATCACGCACTCCCCCTCTCCTCCTCTCTGCTGGGGATCGGCGGCGTGCGCTCCCACTATCTCCTCTCCCGCCAATCCAATGCTCCTCCTTCTTTGCCTCTCCCGCTCCCTCGCTCCCTTCTCCTCCGCTCTCCGGTCGATGCCGAAATGTATCAAGTACGCGCCCTGCGGTGCCTCCCTCTCTCCGATCCCCTTCCCTAGCTCCCTTCTTCCTCGCTCCGCCTCTCCTTGACCGCCTGTCAAGACGAACAGCACTGAGCGGAACACGGCAGCCTCTCCTGGCTGTGAGCCAGACACCACTGCTCCTGTCGCTGCCCCTGTCCCCAGGAGCGCCAAGCGCTCCGGACGGATGCTCCCAGGACCCCCCTGTCTCCTACCCTCCTCCTCCTCCTCCCCTGCTTCGTCCGCCCCCACCACCCTCCCTCCCTGTCCGTCTCTTGGCAGCAGGCTGTAGCGGACAAGCTGTAGGCTGTCAGATCTCCAGCCCAGTTTCCAGTAGCGCCGGTGCACTCGGATGTAGCTGCAGATCAGCCACAGGAGGGCGCAACAGAGCAGCAGGAAGAGGATGCAGAGGACAAGGTTCAGCACGAAGAACCAGAAGCAGAAGAAGCGGACTGCACTCTCCTTCTGACCATCCCAGACCGCCCTGTCCCTGCTAGCCCTCTCCCAGCCCCCCACGGAGCGGCTCATCATGGGAATGCTACTCGTGGTGTCCGGCCGAGTGACCAGGGATTTCCACGTCCCTCCTGCGGATGTGCCATCTGTCCCCGGGTCTGTCCCGACCCTGAAGAGCGTCGGGAGCTTTGTTGGAGCGGCAGACGAAGCAGGAGAGCTGGTGGTCGTTTGTGCGGTTGTGATGATGGTTTCCCGCTCCGTCGTGCTGAGAGACGTCCAGTGCACCCTGGGCGCAGAGGTGGTTATCACCTCCGTCTGCGCGAGCGTAGTTGAACGGGAGAGAAACTCGGTCGTGGTGGGGAGAAGTGTGGCCAGGCGGCGTTCTGTTGCTGGGTTCGGTGAAACGCTGCTCGGCTTGAGAGTCGGGCCCTCTGTGGTAAAGGGTACTCTGTCGGTTAATGTCGTGAGGTAACCCCACATTTTGGAAGTTGTGAATGGGTAGGTGATAATTTCGGACGTTGTGGTTACTGTTTCCGTTCCCTGTGGGCAAATCTGGTCTTTGTTCAAATCGATGATGGAACTTTGAGAATACTGGGAAGGAGAGTCGCACACCACACTGTCTGGCAAGTTCTCGATGTCGTTTTGGCTTTTCCTCAGGTAGACATTGTGGCTCTGGTCATCCAGCCACCATTGCAGATACAACACCTGGCAGCCGCAGATCCAGGGGTTATGGGACAGGAAGACGTACGGGATCTCTCCTCCGCCGTTGGCGTTGGCGAAAAACTTGTCTGGCAGCCTTGTGATCAGGTTCCCCTGCACGGCGAAGGTCTTCAGCTTCATGGTGGTCATCTGGGCCATCAAATCGGCCGGGAGGGACTGGATCTTGTTGTTGGACAGCTCCACCACCTCCAGGTCGGGGAGCTTGGCGAAGAGCGTGGGGCTCAGCTGGGAGATCAGATTGCTCTGCAGGTAGATCTCCATGATGCTGGGCACGGGCTGGAAGGCATCGGGCGGCAGGGAGGCAATCCGGTTATTGTTAAGACGCAGCTTTTTCAGCGCAGGCAGCACCACGCCGGCCGGGCCCAGCCCATCTCCCAAGCCCTTCTTCCCCAACTTCAGGCTCTCGATCTTGTTCTCGGACAGGTCCAGCTCGTGAAGGGCAGGGAAGGCAGTGTAGGCTGCCCAGGAGAGGATCTTGAACTCGTTCCTGGTCAGCACCAGGACCTGCGTCTGGAGGTCCAGGTTCTGCGGCACAGCGGTGAGCCCCATGCCTGTGCAGCTGATTCGTGGCTTGTGGTCAGCATCCTTGTCGCTGTGGCAACCATGGGTCTGCGTCTGGCAACAGAGTGGGAGGAGGAGGAGCAGCAGTGGCAGGAGGAGTGCACAAGTCATCCTGCTGGGAGCTGATGACAGAAGAATGAATTCATCATGAATGCACACAAGGCACAATCAATAACAATAATGGGTAACATGCATTATCCCTGTGTTTGCATATCGTGCCGTTCATCCAAGTGGATGCCTGGATGCCCCCCTGTGCTGCACCAGCTACACTGAGTAGATAAGTGAGACAGGCTACTTTGTATAGCCCTGAATACACCAGAGTTTACACCCTTCATCTTCTGAACGGTCTGCAATGTCCAAGTAGTCAGTATTCTCTCATCTGAAGGACAGTGCTTCCTACAACACCTGTCCCCAGTCACCATACTGGATCCACCACTGTAATGCCCAGCAGTAAGGGTTTGACTTCCAGTAAGGTCCCAGTTGGCTCAGAGTGGCCCAGACTGCTCTGCAGTGGGACTCACAGTCAGCAAGCCTGGAGTGGATCAGTCTGCTCTGCAGTGGGACTCTCAGTCAGTAAAGCCTGGATTCCTGATATACTAGGTGCACTAAGCTAATTTTCCTTATAGGTTTCCTTGTATGAATCTATAGCTCATTACACCCATATACTATATTCTATAGCCCCTTTTGTGTCCATTGTTCAGATGTTGGGGGTTCTTTTGCAAACCATTTTTTATAGTTTTCTTACAGGTAACTAAGAAATATCCCTAGGACAGTATGTACTGTATCTATCCTCAACTTCCAAGTAATCAAAAGTAAAATGATCTTTTCGCATGACTTTTTTTATTAGTCCTAAAATTCAAGGAAAACAAAAAGGCAGAAGATCACAATCTTGGCAGTTATGTGGAGAACAAGCCGCAACTCATTTACACATATTCTGGTCATGCCTGAAAATACAACAACATTGGAAATTCATACATTTAGCCCCTAACAACATGGTAAACTTAGACATACCATTCGAATTCTCCATTATGTATTTGTATAACTCTATGTCTGATTGCTTGGAAGCAAAGAATAGATATAAACTGAATTTTTAAAAGAAGAAAACTCATCACAAGATAATACTCTTTACTAGAAAACCGCCAACATCTGAGCAATGGATCAATGTTGTGAGGGAGAGTCGTGTAATGGAGAAGTTCACCTTTACAGGCAGAGGGGTTTAGTAAATACTGGCAAGACTGGATTGGATTTGTGGTCCCATTGAGACCCGATTTGTTTCTGTGAAACAGGATGAAGTAATTTATTTTGTGGGGATTATTGGTTGTTTCTATACGTTACCTCCCATCTATGCTGACAATGTAAACAGTTATTTGCAAAGAAACAACACAATTGTAAAATGAAAGATGAAAGCAGTCAGTTGATTTAGTATATGTGCCATCGTTGAATAAAGGGTTAGAAAGAGACCTGTAAAAAGGAACAGGTGGCGAAAAAGGGGGGGGAAAAAAAAAACCGGAAAGAAAAAAAACGCAAAAAAAAAAAAAAAACCGAAAAAAAAAGGGAAAAAGCAAAATCGCCCGGTTCTGATCAGAAGCCCGGATGGGCGGGGCAGGGCCCCGTCCTACCTGGGATGAGCTCGGAATGGCCAGTCGGCGTCTCGGAGGAGCTGGCGCTGCGGGACGAGCCCCAGTCTGCACTGCCTCGGCTGGGTGTGGAGGGGGAAGTCGCTCTCACCCGCTTGTTTCCAAATGTCGTCTCTGCGTCGTTGTCCCCGAGCCCTTATCTGAGGAAATCCTGCCCCATCCTTATCGCCTCTGCCGCCTTAAACACCAAATACGGCTTCTTCATTTCCTCTGCAAGCCAGTCTTAAACGCCGAAATGCAGAAGAGGCCGATCTTGTCAGTGGTGCTGTTTCACTGTTCCTGCAGGAACATCCTGCTCATCTCGCTCTAGTTACCCCAGGGGGAACTGCAGGGATGAAGGTTGACTGCCACCTTTTAACTAGACGGGACTCTTGCTGGCTTTTTAACACGCTGTGCGCTCTCACTGAGAAGCACCGGAGAGCTGGAGGGTTTCACTTCAGGACCAAACCCAGTTCCAAAGCGGACCGGGGTTGATTCCAGCCTGAGGTGTGGAGTCCGTGTGAAGTCTGCATGTTCTCCATATTCAGATGTTCTTCCTCCAGGCACTCCAGTTTCCTCCTACCTCTGACCTCCCCACCCCCTACCCAGGACAGGAGTGACTGCTGATTGGATAACTGCGCCGCAGTGTGGGGGGTCCTTGGTCACAGTGGGGCTCACAACAGAGCCCAGACTGGGATCCATCTTGTCTGGACTGTGATCTGCACAACTGCTACCACGGCTTAGCTGTGACTCTTAGAATTCAGGTTAACTACATCTCACAATATTATACAGTTTCTCAAATTACATAGTTCACTCAAATTACATAGTTCACTTGAATTGAACACATAGTTCAGTTCAAGCCCCCCTTTAATGAGAGCATCCCTAGGACATTCACCTGGAATTAAAACGAGCATGGGGGTCACCAGGGCACCCCAAATCCCAACCTCATTCACAGGGCCCTGCACACTGCTTCCAAAACAGCTCCCAGTGACCCCCTGAACGAGAAAGAAACAGACAAACACTGAGCCAAAACTCTTATGAGGGTTCTTTAATTTTCGTCTCTTCAAAGTTCGTTTCAAGCTCTCATGTTACCACAAAATCTTTACAGCTGTGCATTTCCAAGTCTTAAAAAAAAACAAAAAACAAGAAAAAACACTCAGAGACCAGGTGTGCTGAAGGTTGGTGGGGTGCCCCACACCGACACCTCAAACCCAGGGCTGGGCAGCCCTTGGAAGAATAAGGAGGAGAGGGTACAGTAAGGGTCTCCCCCTGACGGATTTCTGTCTGCGGCCAGGAGCCCAACAAGAGGGACCCCTAGTGAACACCGAAAGAGCATCACATGGGAGAGGGGTCCGGGGTGTCCCCTCCTCTGCTCTCGAGAATGGACGCCCACTTTCAAGCCTTTTTTAAAAAAAAAAACACAAAACCGCTTCAAGATTTCGCTCAAGTCTTTGGCGGACGTTATTTGAGTTTTCACCCTTCCCCATGAAAATCTCTTCTTGCCCCTCGAACGCACAACCCCCCCTCCCCCCCCATCCCGGGAAAAATGGTAAGGAAATCCCACTTCTGTAGCAGCTTCCCGAGGGGGGAATTGGCCTGCGCGGCGGCAGCGGATTACATCTCAGGATAATAATTAGAATATACTTAACGAGCATAAAAGATAAAAGACACTATATTAATGAAGGAAAAAGTAAAAATACACCACTGAAAGAAATAAAATCCCATATAATACGCGGTGTTCATGAAGAAAAACACACCCCACAGACTATATGCAAAAACACACTGCAATAGATTGTCCTAAAAATGAAATTAAAACCTTCCACAAGCAGACAAGTGAACTGATAGCATATCGTCGACCTCACTCTCTCGAATCCTTTAATCAAGTTGAATATTTCTATAGAACCTAATCTCATTCCCCGCTGGCAGACGCGCGCAGGGTGTCGATGTCCTGTTTTTCTCGCGGCGAGCAGCAGGTCCCAGCTGTCCGCACCGCGTTGCGCCCTCTCGGGTTCCGACCCGGCCTCCCTCCGTTGCCCTAGCGGATCCAGGGACCGACGGAGCTTCTTTCTTCTCGGACCAGCTTGTTTTCCAGCTCGAGGCCAGGGGGCTCCGGTCTCGTCTGGGACGCGTCCGCAGGGTTCCGAGTGAGAGGAACTCTGTGTGGCCCGGCCCGCTGCTCAGAACCGGGCCCAGGCGCGTCTCCTTGTGTTACTTCCAGACGGGCGCGCACCGGCTGCGTCAGGGGCTTGTGGCCTCCTGCTGTAACCTGTGTGGCCCCACGCCCTAGTGTCCAGAGGACACCGCAGACTGGGCAGGCGAAGGTTGGGGAGACACAGGCCGACTGATTTAAGAGCACGCAACCCCTCTTCAAAAAGAAAGACGCAGTCCCTGGCAGCCAGGTGGAGGGCCCGTATTCAGCACGAGACCTCAATGCAGACGAGGAAAAACCCTTCCTATTATCGACCCTGTTCACGAGTGCTCCTTGTGAAAAACACAGGGATCAGTCGGTGCACAGCGCCCTGCCTCCATGTTTAAAACCATCTTCAACCTGCTTCCTCTAAACCAGTCTCGGCTCCGCTTCACATGCGCCAACCGGTCACCAACATGCTCCTGCAATGAACCCTGACCCCCCCCCCCACAACGCCCCACATTTCCTCTCTCCCCTCAACCCCCTCCCAACCTCCAGCCCGCCGCCTCTTTGAAGACGGACGCAGTAAAAGTCAATCCAAAGCCTTTCCGATCCTCAGATAATTAAACTCTTAGTTAGACACGTCTCAACAGGCGTCTGCATGCCACACAGAAGGACATCTTCTGATCCCAAGCTCAAGGTCTAGGATGGTGCTAGGCCAGGCTAAGTGACCCCAAACGTCCATCCCTAACAATACATCGGGGCCCCCCAAAACTGTAAAAACTCCCGGTTGTCCGACTTCTTGGGAAAGATCAGACCACAGGTGAAGAACCCCAGTTGCTACACAGGCCAAAACCCTGATTGCTGTCTCTTCTGGCTTTCAGTGTAAACTCTTAAACTCTTCACACCCACAACCTATCAACTACTTGCTCTAAAAGACCATCTTTATTCCAAGAACGTCAGCTTTTAACAAGTTAATCTGGGGTTAGTAACACACAGCACTAGTCGAAACCTGGGTTCCCCATGCAGTGCTGCGCAGATTTGTTAACAGTTACTCCTGCAACTAGCCTTGCCCCCAGTAATAGTGTCACTGGGTTTACACAGTCCTCACTCTCCTGTCAGGCTCTGTGCAGAGTCACAGGGTGAGTGATCTGACAGGGGGTGTCAGAGGAGGGTGTGCAAAGTCCTCACTCTCCTGTCAGGCTCTGTGCAGAGTCCCAGGGTGAGTGATCTGACAGGGGGTGTCAGAGGAGGGTGTGCACAGTCCTCACTCTCCTGTCAGGCTCTGTG